TACAAATGCACCAGCAGCAACAGCAAAAACAACAGCAACAACAACAACGAAAACGATAGCCACAAATACTACGGTCGCTATCAAATACATGTCTGTCAGCTGGCTGTAGCCACAACAACAAAAGCCGTTTCCACTACCTCTTGTTGTTGTTGTTGTAGTTGCTGTGCGGCATTCTGTAGGTTTGAGGTTAGAATTTGAATTTTTTCCGCCACCCTCTCACTTTAACACCTCCAGCGCGCGCGTTCATTCTCTTTTGCTATATATCTCTCTCTCTCTCTCTGTCTCTGTCACCCTCCTCTCCATCTCTGTCACGTTCGTTGGCCAGGCCGGTCGCTTTATTTGCAATTGCATAAAAGTTTTGCGAAAAATTCAACGGAAAACAAAAATTTAACACATTCAGCACTTTAACGTATTGGAAATTGGCGGTTTTTGTGGCCTCGTTGCCCACGGTGGATCAGGCGAATATTTCGCGGTAGTTGGTAAGTGTGATTTTTTTTCATTTCGTTTTTTTGAACAACCGGATTTCAATGCATCTTTGCATACTTTGAGGTTTGAGAAACGCCTACAATTGCACGTCTCGGTGCATTTATGCAAGGTTGTGTAAATTTTTTTAAATGAAATGCTCCGTGGAGCTCGAGATGTAAAGCTAACGTAAAAATGGAGACGTTCTTAGTATAAAATCAATTTAAAATTTAAGTTTTACGATCTTCAGAATCGCCGGCAAAGTTTTATTAAAGATAAGTTTTTATTGTAAGAAACCGAGCCATAAAAAAAAGTTCACAATTGGTGTATAAATTTTGATTTTACGTGAAACACAAATCAGTAATATTTAACATCACAAATTAAGACAAGTAATTTTTAAGCGAAAAAAAACCGACTTAAATTCCCATATAAAAATTTAAGTTTATCGTTAATTTCTTTGAGATCCAATGATCGGATCTAAACCCAATTAGTACGGGAAGACCGTTGAGGAATTTGGAATTGTAGAAATCGGTTAGCGTGGTCCAAGGTTATGCGGTAACAAACATGCATAAAAAAAAAACAAATAACAAAAATATTCCGGTCTTTTCTGCTTTGTGAAGTCGGTTAAAAAACATAGACTAAACCTACTCTTCACCAAAAAAATTAAATTGCTTTTCTCTGATTTTTTTTGTTAAAAAAATCGAATAAAAAACTTTTATTTATACCACGTTTCTATAAATGGACTAAAAAGTTTCAACTTTAAATCTCATAAATTGTATATGTATAATGACGTTTATATATTTTTTAAGTTTCTAAACGAAAAAATTCAAAGAAAAACAAAAAAACTTTTTTTTTACTGAAGAGAGCTTTTACTCTGTGCTTTTTTTTAATTTATGGTGTAAAAAAGCGGCACAAACAAGAAGGCGAGGTGATATAAACGTGGTTAAAAAAGCTCAGTACGCGAACAAAATGGTGCATATCGCCGGTTTATTTTGTGCGAGAATAGGGAGGTAACCTCTCCTAGTCATCTAGAAATGACTACCGGCCTTCCTACTTTCGTCGAAAAATATGTCAAAGAAAATTATATTTCGAAATACTTATATCAAAGCGCATACCTAAATTATCTGAACATTTTTTGCCCTGGTTTGTATTTTTTGCGGCATATTTTCAGACGAAGAGGTTACGACAGAAGTCATTTCAGCAATTCATCTGGTTATTCGATGGCAATAGAGCTGTTAACCGGTCATGACTATTTCATATCTGCCACCAGAGAGAGCTTTTACCCAGTGCACGTTATTTATAAACCTTATAGAGACAGCTCTAAAAAGCTTCTTCCGCGATATATACATATATACTTTGGCATACAACGTTTTAAAGCCGTTTATAGATTTATATGGACGCGCATAGAGTGAAAGCTCGCTCTCATCACTACTGGACTTAGTATGCAACACATTTATAATAACCAAATTCACTGATAAAAAGGTTATACAAATTTTATGGCACATACTCGACCAGCCACATGACAGTTTTGATAAGTTTCTGTATCAAATGTGTGCGCTAATGCACGCCATTACAAATCTACTCAACTACTTGTAACGGACTTCTGCTGTACTCGCGACTCATTTCCATTCATTATTTTTGCTTGTCGCGTTGACCAGCTTACGTATGTATGCTATGTATGCAGCTGAGCTTAAAAAATGTCACGAAGTCAACGCAATGGAAGGTTGAAAGGTTGAAATTGGCAAAAAAAAGTGGAAAGAAATTCAAAAGGGAGTGAGAGAGATATGGTAAAAGAGCGCGGCATTGTCTCCATTTACAGAAGAAAGGAGACTGAGTTGAAGTAACTGGCTATTTACATACATACAGATGTCGTTTATTGATTCCGTTGAACGTTGCGACTTTCCGGCGCAGAGCATTTGAAGTTAATGAATTTCGCACAAGAAGAGTTGGTCTGTAAGCTATGGGTAGTTAAGGACATTACATTTTATTATCTTTTATTTTTTGTATGAGTAGTAAGAGTAGGAGAATGGAAAATTGAAAGCCGATTGACTGCACATTTAGTGCGTCGTTTATCACTTGACTAAGTGCATTGATTATTTACTAGTGTCTATGACATGCATGAGAATTGTAGAGTTTTGGATGTTTGGTTTTAGGCGCATCATTGTGCAGAATGAATATGGATGAGTGAGAAGTCTGAACAGTGGCACATTATGTGTTCTGCTGTTTTCTATTTCTCCTGCTGCAGCCTTCACTGTCCAAAATAAAGCAATTTCAAGTTAACCTTCCACATTCGTCCATCAATTTTGCGCTTCTTTCATCATCCAGATATAACAAATTTATTTAACGGAGCTCTATGGCAGACCGATTAACTGTACTGACCCAGTAGCGCCCCTTGGCTGGCGAGAAATGAGGTAAATCCGTTGCCTGGTTGCGATGTGTATTAAAAGCTGAAGGCAGTCAGACCCACACTAGCTTTAAGATGAACTCGTGGACTTTTAAAGCGCGGAACGACGCACTGCATAACTTCAAAGTAGTCAACCGTACCTCCTTAATTTTCTCGGGCTGCTGTTTACTGAACACATATTAAATGTTCACGAAGCTATGTAGGTCTCGCTGTGGAGACGCATTGCCATTCTAAATAGACGCCCATTCGATGTGAAGACGCTGCCCATCTACTATCTCAGACCAAAGGCCTAGTCCAACATCAAATGCAGCGAGATATTCACAAGCAGCATTGAATTTGGCGAAAATGCGGTTTAGGTGATAGGATCTTTCAATTTGAAGCAGGGTTGTGGAAGGAATGACGAAGGAAACAGCCTAAAACACACCACTGTCCTACCACATAAACTGGTGTAACTTTCAACAGGTTCTTCCGCAGCTGCAAGAACCCGGCCTGGAAGTAGGCAGTTAAATTGTTTATCTGTTAGGCTTTTGCAAGAATCAGGCTAAAGACACTTCGCCAACCACTTCTGCAGAATATTTCAGAACTCAGCCGTTCTCTG